GCCTTAGGGACAAAGAAGCCAGGCCCGTTGACTTCTGCATTCCTAGTCCATCTAGTCTTCAACCAGAGAACCTACACAAAAAATTCTCATTCTCTGACAATTCATCCCTGCTTTAAGGAACTCATGGGAATATTTAGACCCTCTTTTCCTTTTTTGAGTACACGGCGTGGGCTTCAATATGTTAGCAGCAACGTGGAAGATGAATTGGAGCTAGAAATTGGTCAATACCGATCTGGGGTGGATAAAATGGCTGCGAACAGAGAGAGATCAGAATGGATGGGGGGCTAGATACCGTGCGTTAAGTGGTGGTTGTTGCAATTAGCCGGACTCCACAAGCATAAATCACCCCAGCAGAAGGGCTCCGGGCCAGGACACACCGAAAAGTGGACATCTGGCCCCATCATAAAGCACTGGCAGTGAATTAATTACAAGCATGATTTCTGAAGCAGTTTTTAGCTCAACTTCTAAATCTCTAGAATTTGAAGAGTTCCTTCCAGGCATAAAGCCTTCCATTGGAATCCAGCAGTTACCAAATCAGTGCAAGTCCACAACCTCCAAGAGTTTGGTCCATGTGGACACAAAGCCAGCACTTTATCCTTCCTGCATCCAGACCTGACATTTCTGGGACTAGAGCACCAGCAGTTACCACAGTGGCCCCTGGGCCGCTTCCTGGCATGGACACTTAGAGACCCAGAGGGCTCACGCTTTTACAGGGACCGATGGCGACTTACGGATACCAGCCTGGCCACTCTGGTCTTTCCGAGCTTGAGATGCTGGGAGTCCCACGAAGGAAAAGCCACACACATGATGATAGCCCTTTCCATTACAGGGATAGCCAGGTATGTAACTGTCTTCTTAAAAACTGATGCATTTAGGTGTGCTTCACATCTCACAAAATTCACCGGTTGTAAGTGTACAGTTCGGTGATTGTTGATAAATTTAAACTATCAGGCAACCTTCAGTTTGTCATTGCCTCCCCCCCCACTCCCACCCCTGCAATGGTGGTAAAATATAATATGCAACAAATTTTCACCATTTTAATCAGTTTGTGCTGTTCAGCAAATTCGAATGGTGGTTTAATCTCCAGAACTCTTTGCATCTTGCATAACTGAAACTCCATTCCCATTAAGCGATGACTCCCACCCCGTCTGGTGGGCTCAGAAGATTGCGTGCAGGCCTGCGAACCAAAAGGTCACCAGTGGGATTCTGGGTCAGGGCACCTGCCTGGGTTTCAGGCTGGGTCCTGGGTTGGGGGTGAGCAGGAAGCAACCAATCCACCTGTCTCTTACACATCACTGTTTCTCTCCTCTTTCTCCCTCCGTGCCCCTCTCTCTATATAAGTAAATAAATAAAATCTTTAAAAAAATAAATAAACAAACTGACTCCCCACGGCCCCCTTACCCAGGCCCTGACAACCACCATTCTACTTTATCCCTATGAACTTGACTCCTCCAGGTCCCTCCTGTAAGTGGAAGCATACAATGTTTGCCTTCTGGGTCTGGCTTATTTCATCCAGCATAACACTCTCAGGTCCATCTCTACTGCAGAACATTCAGCCGGAGTTTCTGCAGCTGAACGGCAGCCCACGGTGTCCAGGTCACGTTGTTTGTTCGTCTGTACGTGCACTCCTGGGTTGCCTCCCCCTTCTGGCTATCGTGAGGGATGTTGCCTGAATACAGGCCCATGAGGATGTCTCCACGTCCATTTTCAACTCTTTTAGGTCTATCTATTCAGAAGTGAAAATGCTGGATCCTATAGTAATTCTATTTAATTGTATTTTGAGCGACTGCCCTATTGTTTCGCACAGCGACCACAACACCATTTACATTCTCACAAACTGTAATAACCTCATAACGCTTTATATTCAGGCCCCCCAAATTATTCACCATCGATTGACAGATTCAGTGTTATTTATTGTGACTTCTGTATTCCGTTACCATGACCAAGTGCTAGGGACACATGTCTGCCCTCGTGGGGCCCACAGTGTGAAAAGCAAGTGATGAACAGATGCACCATTAGATCTGTAAGGATGGAGTTTGAACTGTGCTACAAACGCCAATAGGCAGGCTCTCACTTGGATGAGGAAATGCCCGTTTGAGGAAGGAGGGTTCGGCAGGACAGAGCCGAGAGGGCCTCGGTGGGAGGATTCTGAGTTCCCACATTCAGTGAGGCGCTCACATGAGATATGAGCTTGTTTTCCTGTCTGTGAAAGGGGAATAAAAATGGGTTTTAATGAGGATGAAACATTATGTATCCCAAATAGCCTCCAACCGAAAAACCATGTTTAGGGACTGCATGCTGAAAAACATAACAAGTGAATGCCTGCCTGGGCAAACAGTGAGAACGATCGGATTATATGAACAGGGTTACTGAACAGAAAGCATGAAGAGTTTAATATAATCCTTTACTGTGCTCATTTTTTCCCAAAACTCTGATCCCACCCAGGTCTTTCGATTATTTAAGGAATATTAAATAATCCAAAAAAAGTTTTGTAAGAGTTTCTCTGAGCCCTACGGACCACCTGCCGGGAAGTGCAACCTCAGATGCTCCTCTTTTCTAGCAGGAGGTGACATTGGTGGAGGGGACCCACTTGAGGAAAACTTCTCCGTGGCTTTATCTGTAGAAATCACTCCTACGTGCCCTGGATTTTCCAGGGCTTAAGTTCACATGTTTTCTTTCACCGCAATTTTTTCTTGTTAACTCTTGAGTCTGTGTTGAGCTACAGCTAGATGACAGGGATTGGGCCGGTGGCAGGAAGAATTTCGGAGTCTGGTTTAGGGACTGACCACCTGCTCAGCCACTTCCTAATTAAGTCACGTGGCATCTTTGAGCCTCAGTTTCCTCATTTCCATAATGGGCAAAACAGTGCCCATCTCCCCCGGAAAATCAAATGCGAAAGTGTGCATTTCGTGAATCTTTGGCACATACCAGGGACTTATTGTCATCTTACTGGAGTTTTTTTTTTTTTTGCAATACAGACTATAATGGGAAAGCTGTGTACTTCAGAGTGATTGCATCATCCCAATATAGCAATATTTGTAATTTCCTAAAATTCTGTGAGTACAAGATTACATTATATTGGGTGATACACAGCTATACAGTAAATCGTGTATTTAATTCTGCTAACTGCCTCACACAGTGCAAATACTCAATAGATGTTAAATAAATGTGAACTCTTTAGCCTTGGAAGGCTTTGGTGAGTGTTGGCAATTTCCTTCATTGTCAGGGGCTGCAGCTATAACACCTCCCTCCCCACCCCCACATTTGTGCATTGCATTGTCAATCATAATTATTATTATCACTTGGAGACTCCAATGGCACAATTATATTACCTTGTTCTAAGTAGAAATGGTGAGCATGTTTTCACTATTACCAACTAACACAAGTAAATATAAACTATCTCTTCCACACAGTTTTCTTTGAACCACTATTATTTATTGAGCTGTATACCCCTTGTACACTCATGCAGGTTGGTAAATTACATCTGCCATATTATCTTACATAGAAAAGGTGTTGGGAATACAAGCAGATTAGTCAGCAAGGCAGGCGTTAATTGGCCTTAATACTCAGTATGAGAATTCTAAAGGCTTCCACAGATTATTAAACCAAATTCTTGCCTTTACAACTTGGCCGTTGACTGTAGTTTTATCTTTTTTGCTTTAGGGGACTTACATAAAACAATTGAAAACATTTTGAGAGACTTCAAATATTGGATGCTTACCCTTCCTTTAGTAAGATTGTGTTAATGACCACGAATATCAAAAAGATGATCAAGCTGATTTATTTTCTGCCCTGGGTTGTCCAAACACCCAGGTGAACATACTTATGAGCCCAGCATTCTAGTTTGCTCGCATTCCTGATGAGCTTACAAGAAATTCTTACAAGCTGGGAACCTGATGAATAACTAATCAAGAAAATGCACGAATGGGGAGGGAGGGTTTATAGCTGCAGCCCCTCACAATGAAGTAAATGCCCAATAAACACAAATGCCCAGAGGCTGCGTTGAAACACCCATCAAAGGCTTAGAAGGCTGAAGATTTCACATTTATTCAGCATCTATTAAGTATTTACATTGTGCAAGGCAGTTAATGGAATTAAATGCAGATTTATTGTGTTGCTGTATGTGCATCTGATATAATACTGTTCTCTCGCACACACAATTTTAGAAAATTCCAAATAGCTCCATATTGGGATGGTACAATCACTTTGAACCATACACCTTTTCCATAATTGTCTAAATTGCAAAAAATTTTTCAATAATGATTAGTTTAACAACCAGCACACTGTGCGTCCATGGGTGATGTAATAAAATAGGCAAAGAAGTGGATAAGTATGATGTTAAGTGGATAAGTATGATAAGTATGAGACATTTATGGCTCGTGGGGGGGAAATGCAATTGCTTGCTGTTTTGATACTGCCTAAAGGTGTTCACTTTCCGCCCTTTCTATATTTAGAATCCTGTTACTAAAAAACCAGAATCAAGGTCGTGTTCTAACAAACTAATCCTCGTGACTATGAATCCTGGGGGCTATTTATCATTTAAAGCAAATAAATTTTGGCGATGGCTTCATCGGAAATTTTGGAAATTGGACGGCTACGTTCAGAGTTGAAATGGAGCAGGAGAGTTGAATCAACCACCATTTTCACTATTCTTCAGGCGTCACGAAACTCGATTTTAACATTTCCACCAAAAAGAAGATGGAAGGGGACTCGGGTCACATCTCTGTTTTTTGCTTTTTGGATTTTTGGCAGATGTAAATATTGAGTCACCAAACAGACCTTCCTCCACGGCCTGCGCGGATGCCAGCCTTACAAAAATCATTTTTGTAAGGGTTAGGGTTCGTCCCAAAACTTTTGCCTAAGTCCCTAATTTTTAATAAGGACACAATTCTTTTTCTCTCCAAGGATGGGTCCCCGTCCGCCCCCGCCCAGACTTCGTCGCGGACTCAGCCAATCTGAGCCCGGATGCTAATTAGTTGCGCTCCCGGGACGAACACGCCTTTGTCGCCTGCAGAGCCGGACTACAAAGCCCAGAATGCCTCGCCCCTCCCTGATCAATGAGGGCTTATTTAAATGATCTCTGAGGTCTTGGACCCAGGCCAATCAGCTGTCAGGGCTCATGATAAATCGCAATGCATTATTGATAATAATAATTACTGGGACATGCGCGTTCCGGCCGAAGGGGGGTAAATTTCCTAACTCCAGGAATTTGTGGCGGAGTGGACGAATAACCGCGGTTCTCCCGGCGCCCCGATGCTCGCACCATGTCGAGGCGCAAGCAAGCGAAACCCCAGCACATCAACTCGGAGGAGGACCAGGGAGAGCAGCAGCCGCAGCAGCCGGCTCCAGAGTTTGCAGATGCGGCCCCAGCGGCGCCGGCGGCGGGGGAGCCGGGTGAGTGGGGCCGGAGGCGCGCACTCTTCCCGCATGTTCGCGGGACCCTCGAAGGCGCGGGCTTCAGGGACCTAGCGGCTTCGAGCGTAGATTCTGGAACGGAAATCTGGGGCTACGTTCCAGAGAAGAGAGGCAACCTCAGTAGCCGCCCCCCCCCCCCAGGGGCCCTTGTTAATTTTACATTTTTATCGCTTCCCCTCACTTGTGTAAATTTCACCCCGGGTCTCTCCCTTCTTATTGTAAATTGACCCCCACCCTTTCTTCTGTCCCTCTCTTTCCTGAAAGGTTCCCTTCTCCTTGTCCTCTGCCCCTCTCTTAATTGGTTCCACTCCCCCACTAGTTACCTCCCCCCCCCACACTTGTAACTTAGGTTTCCCTCCTCCCTCCCTGGCGCCGCTTTTAAAAGAAAGACCCCGAGGGTCCCCACCCTTTCCCTCACCCCTTGGGGGCTTTTCTTGGAGGCTGGAGAAGTGGCGCACCCTTGGAAGACCCCCGGGAGAGGACGATCTGTTGCCCGCGCCCCTCGGGGGCCGAGCGGGGGGAGGGGGCGCGACCTCTCCCCAGCCCCAGGAGCTGGGGTGCGGGCCACCCGCGCTGCGGAGGAGATTGGAGGGCCCGAAGAGGTGGGCGAGAAGGGCCCAGTATTCCCCTTTTAAATTTTTTCTTTCTTGGTTTTCGCTTTTTCCCCGGGGCTACGCCGCCTCCCGATCTTCGCCCTAACCTTTCGGGGCCTGACCTCCAGCCATCTTTGATTTCCGACTTCCTAAAATAACCGCGGCGTGCGGGAGGAGTGCGGACCCCCAGGGGCCGGGGGCGCGGGCGCACGGCAGTCCTGCCGGGGTGCATCGGCCTGGCGTTCTGCGTGTGCTTTTCTGGGGCGCCCCGTTTTCTACCAGCTTGCCCCGGGGACCAGAGGGGAGAGGTCGGGCCAGGGCGGACTCCGGGTCTGACCAGCCCACGCTGCCGCGCCCAGGGTCTCTGGAGTCGGGAGGAGTTCGGGACCCCGGCAGTGCCCCGAGCGGCCGCGCAACTCCCTTCCTCCTCGCCACTTAACGGAGGAGGTTTTAGGAACGAGTCGATTTCCCACTATCTCCCCGCTGTCCCGGCCCGCCAAATTGTCGCCTGATAAGTTTTTAGCGTCCGCATGGGGGGAGGGTGCGCGTTTAACCTCTTGGGCCTTGCTGGTCGCCGCCTGCTTCTTAACATCTCAAATCAACTGTGAGTGCGGGTGCGTGGGGCCACCCAGAAATTCCGAGGTACAACTCCGTTGGGAAGACGGTCGTGCTTTTTGACTGCTGTCCTCTCTTCCGGGGAGGAAATTAATACACTTCCCAGATATATCCTGGGTTAATATAAATCCCCACTACCTCCAAAGTAACATTTTTCGAGGGCAAGTAAAAGAGGTCTGCTCGACTGAGGGGTGGGCTGTGCCTTTTGGGGTGTCTGATGGTCGAGTAGTGCGCACCCGAGGTCCCAGGAGGGTGTGCTCTCTTTGTGCCTGGGGGGTGGGGTGGAGGGAGCGTGGAGAGGCTTCGTGGCCTGGCCCACCTGGAACAAAAGGGTTAACCCTCCGCCCACCGGCTTCCTCTGGAGAGGAGGGGCGAGCTCCTGGCTCTGACCCCTCCTCCCCTGGTCTGCTCTGACCTCTTCCCCTTCGTTTTGGGTGAGCGCTTGCTAGTGGGACTTCTGGTGGTGTTCGGCACATTTAGGGGGAGCTTGTTACTTAGGGCGGGTGGGGGGTTCTTCGATTAATGCTGGCTGGAGTTTGCAGTCAGTTAACCCGAGCTGGTTAAGGTCTCAGGCCCTGCAGTGCGCTCCCTCCACAATTTGGGATGTGGGGCGGGGCGGGGGGCGGCTATTGATCGCTGGGGTCGGAGCTGGCCGCGGAGTTGTGCGCGGGCGCCCCCTGGAGGCCCAGCCTGGCTTGCGCCCTTTGCGGAGAGGCAGGTACCGGCTCACACCTGATGGAACAGGCTGTGGAGGGGAGTGGAGAGCGATGGGCCGGGCCAACGGTAGGCGTCCCTGGGAACTCCAGTCAATTGCCTGCGGGGTCCCTGGCTGTGCCGGCTGTTTGCCGAGTCTTTGGAATTCTTTCCAAGAATTTCTGGATCCTCGAATGTGTGTCGCCGCTTCCCCAGTTACACCATGGGATAAGCAGGCAGTTTTCCCGAGCATTACGTTTGAATGGCTGCATTTTGCGTTTGAGCAGCCTTTTGGTATCTGCGTACATACCTATACAGCTACAGAGGGGTGGACTGCAGATATGTTTAATTTAAAGTTAACATGGGGCCGATCGTATTTTGCAAAGCCAATCTGAGAACCACTTGTAAAGTAAACGGTTTTCGAGGGAGTAAAATGAAGTTTGGCCATCAATTAGCAGATCAAAACATCTGCAGGTGGTCGAGGGGACTGGAGCTACACACGGGAAAATTAGCATTTTCTCAAAAGAGTTTCAAATGCCCTTTGTGCTAAACTGGATTACAACCTTCAACGATTAAGATTCCCAAGTTTCAAATAACTGCCTAGCCCCAGTTTCTAAACTGAAATGACCTACATTGGCCAGTGAGGATTCTGAGAATAGGGCCCTTGGGAGCTCCCATTTTAATTGAGGGGGAGAGGGAAACGTGTGGATTTGTAGCATTAATGTTGCAAGCCGACTTGCTGTGTTTCCATCTCTGTTTCTGAAGGAGAAAGGGGCTCCAACTGGCCCACAGCCCCTTTTGTTCCGTTAAAAAGAGATTGCACAAGCCAACGATACTCATTCAAACCTCTGCTGGCTTCCTCACTGGTGGGGAGTTGGGGACCCATCTCTGAGGCAGGGGGATAGAGTTGGCACTTCCCCTTTTTAAGTGAAGTGGGTTTTTAAAATAAAGGTTTAGGGATGTGCCTTTCAGCCTGGTGGTGTGGCTTTTCAGCCATGAAACCTGGGGACATGCCTGGTTTTTCTGAAGTTTTGGGTTCTCTGTGCAGTGGGAATGTGACTGGTACCTAATATTGTTCAAAGTAATAATGCTTTTGTTTTTATTTATTTACAAGATAGTGCTGAACTGCCCACTGAGATAATTCTATGTTTTTATCTTCAGCCGACTGTATGCCAGACACCAGACTGGGGGCATTAATTAAGTACAGTCGCTTTCATTCACATTTTTCCTCATCAGGGAGGAGAAGCTGCAGGTCCCCGGTTGAAATGGCTCCGTTGTGTTTGCCTTGTCCTGCTGGATTGGAGCCTTGTTCCAGGGACTGTGTTTGTCTTGGCCTTAGAGGAATTGGTCATGGGATGGACCTTCTGTCAGTTCCTTGGATGAGAGGCCGTGGTGTCGGGCTGGTTGGGTTTGACAATCCTCCCTTTTAATTTTCAAAATGTGCCTTTGGAGGCTTTCAATGAAGGAGGTCCCTGCGAAGCAGGTCGGAAATAGAGAAGAGTTCGCTCTGCCCTTGGAGAAAGGATAGAGGACGAATTCCAAAAGTTGCCGTTTTCATCACCTGTTGTACTTTTGGTTATCTCTGAAAAGCATCTAAACATTCCAAAAGCCTGTAGGTCCAGACAAGAACTGCCTCTCCAGTCACTGCCATCCTCCTTTTCTGACTTTTTAAAAATTAATTTTGTGTCTCTCCAGCGTTGTTCAAGGGGGCTCTGCAGAAGGAGACAGCAGAGGCCCCCCTGCCTGCACAGAGGGTGCAGGTTTGCCTAAATGACGAGCTCCAGTCTCAGATGGTGGTGCTTACACACCTCAGCAGCTGGGGAGCTGCCTAATTTTGCTTCCCCCCTTCCCCCCTTTTTCTCAGCAGAGTCCCTGAATTTTGATCCTAGACTGTTTGGAGGAATTTTATTGACTCGCCATTAAATAGAAACTAAATTAGCTCTAATTTGCCCTCTGTGGATTGAGTTAAATACTTGCTACTTAGCTGTCTCTTGGATTGTGGAATTCAGATCTAAAATTAAGCTGGTAAACTTCAACTACTTCAATTCTGGAGGACCTCTCGGTTTCTTTTTTTGTTGTTTTGTTTTTTTGTGTTTTTGTGGGGTTTTTTTTTTTTTTTTTTTTTTTTTTTGGTAATTACCCTGCTGGTGGGGGAGGGTACTTTCATCTAGTCATTGTAGTTCTATTAATATAGAAATGGGGGGAGATAAGCTTGTCCTAATGCGTATCTCAAGATAAACTTTTTTTAAAAGCATTTTCTCATCTCCACCCTTTGATTGGCCTCTGGTAGATGAGCTTTTCTTCCTATACAATGGAAAGAGTATTTTTCTATCCACTTGGCAATGATTGAATCTAAGCCGCGCCCCCCCCCCCTTTACTCTGCATTCTTCCAACTTATTGGATAACTAGATGCTGGGAGATAACATTCCTAAAATTCGGAGTGGGGGTGGGGTGGAAGGCCACAAGCCCTGCTTGCTCCATAATCCTCTGAACTTTGAAGGAAACTTCGCTTTTTCCTTTTGTGAAGGGTTCACTGAAGCATCACCCAGCAACTATTGGTAACAGTTCTCTGGCTCTTGGGGCAAAGACAGTTTCCGTCTTTGCCAATGGTGGTCTGGATGTAGGAGTTTTTACTGCGCCAGCAAACAGAACTCCTGCTGTTTTTAAGATTCAAATGGGAAGTGGCTGGTAAGGCTACAGAAGAGGCGAGCCTGTGTATACAGTGAAGGCAAGCCGGTATTCAGGTCGTAAATCACCCCGGGAACCGTTCGATCCTTCTAGAGCAGGGGAGCTTAACCTTCCTGGTGCCATAGAACCCTTCTCCACAGAAAGTATTTAGATAACACCAAAGGAAGAAACACATAGGAAAACCAGGGGAATGAATTGCCCTGAGATAGTTACCAGCAACAAAAACCTTTGTGGTTGCGTGACACGTGCTTTGTGAGCACAGTAAGATGTAGCAGCTGGTCAGGTAATCAACCAGTGGCCAGCATTTCCAGTGATGCAGCAGCGTTAACACTGTATGAAAATAACCTGTTTTCTGTTGATGACAAACTCACGGTGACTGATTCCTCTGTGGTATATGCCCTACGTTCATAGGTAAAATAAACATTCCATTTTAGTTTAGGTTGGTGAAAAGGAAGATAATCTGTGTTTTTTTACCTATTTCCATGGAGTCTGGTTTAAGAATGCGCACTTTGGGGGAAAACTTGTGTTTTTGATAAGGGAATATCATGCCCTAGAGGGCGGGCATTGTTTTTCCCTGCCTTGCCTAGAGGGAAGGCAGGGAAGTAGAAAACATTTATCGATGTTTCAGTGGCTTTCAGCCTTCGAAGGACCACAGCGTATGAACAGATATAAACTATATTTGTGGCGTTAAAATTTTATGGCAAGGCGTGATTAGGAAAAAGGCATCGGAACCTCCCCGGAGGAGTGAAATGAGAAAGCTGGAGGGACCCTGCTCCCGCAGAAGTGCTGGGTTAGGCCGATCCGTTTAGTGTCCTTGCAGCATTTAAGCAGATAGTCCCCCGCTCTTGTGTTTTCTGGTCATCACTGCCTCGCATTGAGCCACTTAATTATTTCAGTCTCAGTTGACATATCTGTGAATTGGGAGCAAAGACCTTCCTTGATTGTGCAGCTGCGGAGATAAATGAGTTCAGGGGTACGAGTCTGAAGGGTACGTTTTTGTTGTTTGGAGGAGGGTGGGGTGGGCATTCTTTGTCTCGGGTGGGCTTTCCTGGATCTTTGTAGTAGTCGGACTGGTTCAGACAGACAGACGGACGGAGGATGTAAATATGCTAATTAGAAACCGTAGCACAAAAAGTGTCAACAGTTTAAGGCTGTCGACCCTGGCCAGTTGGACCTCAGTGGTCTTTCCCGTGTCCGTGTTCGTATCTTTACCTGCAGCACGGATGGGAGCACGTGACATACAGATCCTGTCGTCCTCGACTTTTCCTCTAGAAGTAGCTCCTGGCAGTTGTTCGGTAGCGTAGCACATAGAACGCGGGCCCCTTTTTGTGGGCTAGGAACCATCTCTTTTCTGTACCCTCACTGACCGCACCGCAGCCTTAGTGAATGACCAAGCACCATCCATTTCTGGTTTTGGTGGGGAATATTTCTTCATACCACAGAAAATCCTAGCAAAGGGATTGTTGGGTCACAGGAGAATTCCACTAAAATTAGCCGTGTATACTTACATGCACCTACCAATCGTGCGTGTTCCCCTCCTGACTTTTTAAAAAAGTTCCACTTTTTAAAGTATTTTATTTTTAGGTGTTTTAAGATTTGTTTGTTTACTTTTGGAAAAGGGAGGGAGAAAGAGCGGGAGGGAGACATCAGTGTGAGAGAAAACATCCATTGGTTGCCTCTCACATTCCCCACCTCCCCAATGGGGGAGCTGGCCTGCAATCCAGGCATGTGCCCTGACTGGGAACCGAACCCATGACCCTTTGGTTTGCAGGTCGGCATTCAATCCACTGAGCCACACCAGCCAGGGCACTTTTTAAAGTTCTTGACACATAGTTGCCAGACCTGCTTTTCCCGAAAGATTTGTGCCGCCCGACACCTCCACAAATGCTGCATTTGGAAAGTGTGCCATAGATGCTCTCTGGGGATTAACATATACTTCTCACTTGATTCTTGAAATAATGACTATTGGGGGACAGTATTGAGGCCAGAAGGAAGGCAGCATCTCCTTGTTGAGCTGTCCCTAAAAGGTCAGGGCTGCCTTGTGTCCTAACTTTTTTTTTTTTAAGTGAAGAGGGTGGGAGGGAGGGAAAGAGAGAAACATGGATTTGCTGTTGCACCCATTTACACACTCAGTGATTGTACCCTACCTGGGGAGCAAACCTGCGACCTCTGGAGGATTGGGACGACACTCTAACCTCCTGGCTTACCCGGTTAGGGCCCTCCTCTTTCTTTTAAAGTCATTGCTGGGTGCCCCAGAAAGGTGCTGACCTGTATTCTAGGCCCTCACTTGACCCCACCCCCTTAGCCAGTTTGACTCCTGTGGCTTCCCTGTCCCCACTGGGGTTTCTGTGAGGACAAGATAGTTGCAGTTGCAATAGAAGGCATATGATCGGAAGTGTGAGAGCAGAGGAAGGGAGTGTGCAAATGGAGGGTCTGGGTGCTGTCTGCCTGGGTTTCAGTAAGTGTAGTGTGTATCGGGCACCTAGGGGAACCTCATCAGAAGCCTGGGGGCTGTAGGGTCATCTTTTCCCCGTGGGGTTCCAGAGCCCCAGCCTTCTGCACAGTAGGAGGTGAGAACGAGCTGGTCAGTGACGGTTGTCTGTTGTCAGGAGCCCTAGCTGCCCAGGTAGAGAAGAGATGGGAGGGGGAGAATGAAAGGATTTCAAAAAATAGAAGTGGATGGGGGAACTAATGCTCCCTAAATATCTATAGTGTCTGTACTTTTCCCAGATCCCAGGATGGTAGGGGCCAGGCATGTATTAGGTACTCGAGCATTTGTTCAGTGAATCGCTAACCTTATGAGGGTGTAGTGATTACAGGTGTTTTGCAGGAATTCTGCAGGGCAAGCCTACTACCACATGAAACCTGTTACTGGCAGGGGAGTGTTAGATTGGCCCTCTGGTTCTGGTTCTGTCCTTACGCAGAGGAAGACTCCAAATCCTCACAGTTGGATTGGTCTAAAAGGCACTGTCCCAATTGGTCAGAATAGAGTTGCTCTGGTCGGTTGGAGCTATGGAGGTCTGATTGGATGGGGGATGCTTCAGTTCTATTGGTTGAAATAGAATTCCAGGAACTCTTATGAGACAGCAGGCAATTCAGGGAAGAGGCGAGCAGTCCAGCTCTGGCTTCTCTAAAGTGCAGTTTGTGTTGAGAGGCCAATGTCATTTTCACTTACTGCATGAAATGCATTTGCCATTGGAAGCTTGCTTTGAGTGGGGAGATGCAGATCTGGGGGGGGGGTCATTCGTTTGTTTGTTTATTTATTTAGAGAGACGGGAAGGGAGAGAGAAAGGTGGAGAGAAACATCAATGTGTGGTTGCCTCTCACACGGCCCCCATGGGGGACCTGGCCTGCATCCCAGGCATGTGCCCTGACTGGGAATTGAACCAGTGACACTTTGGTTCACAGGCCGGTGCTCAATCTACTGAGCCAGCCAGGGCTTACTTCTAATAAATTATATGCACCTCGTTGGGTTGCTGTAACCAATTGCTACAAACTGGGAAGCTTAAAACAGAAATTTGTCCTTTTAATGGTTTTGGAGGCTAGAAGTATGGAGTCAAGGTGCCGGCAGGATTGGCTCCTTCTGGAGGTTCCGAGGGAAAATCGGTTGCTTTTCTCCTCTCCTCCTTCCCGCTTTCTGAAAGTGCCCACCTCCCTGCCGTCTGTAAGCCAACAAACCTTGGTGCATGGCCGTATAACTGCTCCATTTGCAGAGTTCCTCATCCCAAGAGGGTGCAGGCACAGGTGCTGGGATTGGTACTGTGACGTATTTTGGGGGGGTGTTCATTGACCCACTGCACAAATGGTTAGCTCATTCAGCCTCTGCGGGGGCCGAGTCCTCTTACACAATCTTTGTTGCACACAGGTCTGTTGCATTGTGTGGGCGTGACTCTTCCCGAGCAATTGCCCCTCCTCCTTCCTGGACAGAGTTCTTAGCTTCTCCTCTCTTGTCACAGGTGCTCCAATAAACCACCCGGGGACTGGCGATGACATGATTGGGGACCGAGTGCCAGCAAAGAGGCCTCGTCGGGAGGAGACTCACATCTGTGAGAAATGCTGCGGCGAGTTCTTCAGCTTCTCTGAGTTCTTAGAACACAAGAAAAATTGCACTAAACACCCACCTGTCCTTATCATGAACGACAGCGAGGGGCCAGTGCCTTCGGAAGACTTCTCTGGGGCTGTGCTGAGCCACCAGCCACACAGCCCGAGCAGTAAGGACAGTCACAGGGAGGATGGCAGCATCTCAGGGGACATGAAGGAGAAGCCAGGGGCGGACTCTGTTCTGTACTTAAAGACCGAGACCGCCCTGCCCCCCAACCCCCAGGACTTAAGCTATTTACCCAAAGGCAAGGTGGCCAACACTAACGTCACTCTTCAAGCACTACGGGGCACCAAGGTGGCGGTGAACCAGCGGAGCGCGGACGCACCGCCCACCCCCCTGCCTGGCGCCCATAGCATCCCATGGGTCCTGGAGCAGATCCTGTGTCTGCAGCAGCAGCAGCTGCAGCAGATCCAGCTCACGGAGCAGATCCGCGTGCAGGTGAACATGTGGGCCGCCCACGCCCTCCATTCCGGCACGGCGGGAGCTGACACCCTGAAGACCTTGGGCAGCCACGTGTCCCAGCAGGTCTCCGCAGCCGTGGCTTTGCTCAGCCAGAAAGCTGGAGGCCAGGGTCTGTCTCTGGACACCTTGAAACAAGCCAAGCTACCTCACACAAACATCCCTTCCACCACCAGCTCTGTGTCCCCGGGACTGGTGTCCTTCGCCCTGAGGCCAGATGGGTCACGGGTGCTCCCGAACCGCCTCCCAGGTGCTTTGATACCTCAGGCCCCGAGCTCCGTGCTCTTCCAGAGCCCTTTCTCCACCATGGCGTTAGATCCGTCCAAGAAAGGGAAAGGGAAGCCACCCAACGTGTCCCCAGTGGACGTCAAACCCAAAGACGAAGCCACCCTCTACCGGCACAAGTGTAAGTACTGTAGCAAGGTTTTTGGGACTGATAGCTCCTTGCAGATCCACCTTCGTTCCCATACCGGAGAGAGACCCTTCGTGTGCTCTGTCTGTGGCCACCGGTTTACCACCAAGGGCAACCTCAAGGTACACTTCCACCGACATCCCCAGGTGAAGGCAAACCCCCAGCTGTTTGCCGACCTCCACGACAAAATGGCAACAGGCAATGGCATTCCCTACGCGCTCTCTGTCCCTGTCCCCGTAGATGAGTCGAGTCTCTCTTTAGACAGCAAGCCTGTCCTGGTACCAGGGACCCCCACTGTAGGGCTACCTCAGAATCTCTCTTCGGGGACTAACCCCAAGGACCTAATGGGTGGCCCGCTGGCCAAGGACCTGCAGCCTGGGCCGTCTCCAGAAAGTGAGGACGGATCCGCGTACTCTGGGGTGGGGCCAAACCATAACTCCCCGAGGGTTGGCAGCTTCCAAGGGAGAGGGACACCCGAGCCAGGTTCGGAGACCCTCAAGTTGCAGCAGCTGGTGGAGAACATCGACAAGGCCACCACCGACCCCAACGAATGTCTTATTTGCCACCGTGTCTTAAGCTGCCAGAGCTCCCTCAAAATGCATTACCGCACCCACACTGGGGAGAGGCCGTTCCGGTGCAGGATCTGTGACCGAGCCTTCTCTACCAAAGGCAACCTGAAGACGCACTTCGGGGTGCACCGGACCAACGCCTCTGCGAAGACGCAGCACTCCTGCCCCATCTGCCAGAAGAAGTTCACCAACGCCGTCATGCTGCAGCAGCACATCCGCATGCACATGGGCGGCCAGATCCCCAACACGCCGCTGCCTGAGAGTCCCTGTGACTTCTCGGGCCCCGAGCTGATGGTGGGCGGGGAGGACGGCAGCACCAGCACCGCCTGTCACGATGACATCGAAAGCATTGATCTAGACGACGTCAGCTCCCAGGATGCTCCCAGCAGCTCCTCCAAGGTCCCAGTGCCTTTTCCCAGCCTCCACTCGGCATCGCCCACGCCGGTGTTCACTCTGGCGGCCCCCCTGGACGCCCCAGCGAAGGTGGGTGCCGCTGCCTCGGCCCTGCAGCGGCAGAGCAGCAGAGACAACGGTTCGGTGGAGAGTGACGGCTTGACCAACGACTCGTCGTCCTCCGTGATGGGGGACCCGGAGTATCAGAGCCGAAGTCCAGACGTCCTGGAGACTGCGTCCTTTCAAGCCCTCTCCCCAGCCAATAGCCAGGCAGAGAGCGTCAAGTCCAAGTCTCCGGACGCCGGCAGCAGAGCAGACAGCTCGGAGCACGGCCGCCCTGAGATGGAAGGTGATAGAGCTTTGACTTTAACTTACGTCCATTGTGGGCACAAGGCCATCCAGAAGGAACCTGGGTTGAACTTGACAAACGGAGAGTGTGATAAGTGTGAAGCAGGTCCTCTGTAGGGAGGGTAGCCATTCTGTGCTTCCGGGTGGAGGGAAAGAGTAACTTCCTGGAGCCCTGTAGTGACATGCTTTGACATATGACGGTTAACACGCACGTTGGCTGGACAGCAGACTTCTCTGTTCGTTGTCATTTCTGTGCTTGGGCCCCGTGGGGACGGACGGAAGGGTAATCGTCAGAGTACAAGAATTTTGAGAGAGTGGGCAGTGTTTTATTGGCCACTTAGATAATTTCTTGATTCCGAGGTCCCACACCCTAATGTGAGATTCACAAAGGAGTAGTTCTTGGGGTTAAAAAGAGCCTAACCAGTTTGAAACGTACACATAAAATAAATGGTGGGGTGCCTGTCGATGTCATTAACGGCCCAGGTGGGTGGGGGGGCAGCTGCATCACAGAGCCCGAGAAGGGTGGGCGCCTGGGCATACTTCAAAGGGAACCCTCCATGTAGGGATTTGAACTTGGATGCACCTGTACCTTCACACCACAGTGGCAGATTTTCCCCAGTGTTTTCAGTCCTTATTTTCTGTGCAGTAAACAAGTCAAAGGAAGCTGCTTCCCAGGTGTAAATTTCCTAAAAGCCACTTCCGGGTGCTCAGGCGGGCAGTCGTTGGTTGGAAGGGTGGACAAGTGAGGGATGATAAAGGTTTGGGTTTTTTCTTTTTCTCTCTCTGCACACTAGGTCGGAGCAGCCTCCCGTCGACGTTCGTCCGAGCCCAGCCAGCCTTTGTCAAAGTCGAAGTTCCCGGTGCTTTTGGACCCGCGACCGTGTCCCCAGGCATGACACCTTTGCTAGCGGCCCAGCCTCGCCGCCAGGGCAAGCAGCACGCCTGCACGAGGTGCGGGAAGAACTTCTCCTCGGCCAGCGCGCTGCAGATCCACGAGCGGACTCACACCGGGGAGAAGCCCTTCGTCTGCAACATATGCGGACGGGCCTTCACCACCAAGGGCAACCTGAAGGTGAGCTTCCGGGGTTTGGGGGGGGGGGGGGGGGCTAGGGGCTGGGTGCGTTCTCTATCCAAGGTGACCTTCCTACATAGCACGTGGGATGTCACATCTCCAACCTGGCTCTGGAAATAAAATATCTTTAAAGAAACACGTTTTCTCTCGCCACGATATCACTGAGAGGGGATGCGTCTTGTCAGTGTCCGCAGTTAGTGGTTTTTCCCTTTAGTGGCACATAAAAAACAGTGGCACATTGTATGAGGGGTGTCGTCTAGAAGCAGGACAGGTGTGTGGTCTGCTTCTGCTCCTGAGATTTCCCTACTGGGGCCTTTCAGCAGTCGTTCTGCAGGCGTACGAAACTGAGTCAGGAAACAAAGGTACGTGTGTCCTGTGTTGTAGCAGAGAATTGTGAAGTCGTTTGTGGGTTTCACAATGCTTCCAGACTTGGTGGGTGCCCTGTATCACACCTCGGTTTTGTTCCCTAGCTCGCTGCGTTGAAAGAAATACCACAAGTTGGATGGATATGCAATACAGTGCCCCTGCAGTTACAAAGAAAGGCCTCCGGGCTACAAGCGGAGTGTTGCAAAATGGAGCAAGGGGGGGGCGGTTCTTCCAGAGAATGGCCTATTGTTCTAAGTTGGTTCCACCTGAGATATCTCCCCAGAGACAGAGGAGCCCCTGGGGGAAGGGTTGAAAATGGCCTGCATGAGAACTCAGGATGGGATGGGGGCCCGAGTTTTCCTCTGAGCCCACCCTCCAGTTTTTACACAAGGCAGCTTTTCCTCTGGTTCTTTCTCTTTCTCTCCGCTGAGGAGGACACTAGTTAAATTCTCTGCAGTTAGAATGAAGGTTGAAACTAATTCATCTTGGAGTTGACCTAGAAGATGGTATGTCATCTTAAAAATTAAGGTTACTTCCTATTACAAACCTGCAAAGAGGAGGAACATGAAGTAACTTCATCTCTAATACCAACGTGCAGAAATAGAAAGCTTAGCTTGGTTCGCAGGGTCCTGTGGTCAGCCTAGGAAAGTTCTGGAGCTGCCCTCACTGCACACGCGACTTGGGGCAGGGGCTTCTTGTCCCCCGGTTTCCCAGACATGGGGAGCATGGTCATGATGACTTCGGTTGTCCTGGAGATTACGGGAGTTAACAGAATACAGTGTTTCCCATTATGCCCGGGACATCTTAACAGCTTTGTAGAGTAGTCAAGAGCAAGTCGCTTCTGAGCTTAATGAGGTAACTCCTAACTTCTAAGGATATCTGAGGACGAGGTGAGAATACTGCAGAGAACCTGGCACCTGCCAGATTCTTTGGCTCCTTAATGAGGCTGAAACGGTTTGAAAACCCCAAAGCCAGACCAGGAAAGGAATGCAGAAAGGAGGCCAGGATGAAGAAGCAGTAGGCAGTATGACCATCTGTTCTCTACCCTCTCCCCCACCCCTGCAAGAGAACCAATAATCTGGACTCCTTTACATATAAAATCCAATTTTAAAGTATAAATTACGTCGTTCGTGTGTTTGGGTAGCGCCAGGCCCATGTGCAGGCCCACCATGGCTTGCCAACATCTCACTCGCCTCCATTCTAGCAGAAACTTTCCTGCCCCTCTCCCCGCAGGTCCACTACATGACGCACGGCGCCAGCAACAGCTCCGCCCGCCGTGGGAGGAAGCTGGCCATCGAGAACACCATGGCTCTCCTGGGCACAGACGCAAAGAGGACCCCGGAGATGTTTCCCAAGGAAATCGTGGCCCCTTCCGTGAACGTGGACCCTGCCGTGTGGAACCAGTACACTGCCATGCTCAACGGGGGGCTGGCCGTGAAGACCAACGAGATCTCCGTGATCCAGGGCGGGGGCATTCCCGCCCTCCCTGTCTCCCTGGGGGCCGGCCCCGTGGTCAGTAACAACACCGCCGTTGCCAAGATAGATGGCTGTCCGGCAGCCATTGGCGCCGACGTGGAAAAGCCGGGGGCCACCGACAGTGTCCCCAAACACCAGTTCCCTCACTTTATGGAAGAAAACAACATTGCGGTCAGCTAAGCCATGGGAGAGCCCGATCGGAAGGATGGGAAGGAGAAACACGGGGGGCCGCTGGCCGCTGGCGAACTGGGCCTTGTTCGGTTTTGTTTTTTTAAGGAACCCATCTCTGTGTTGTGTGTGTGGTTTTTTTTTTTTTCTTTTTTCTTACTGATGTGCAGACAATGTTTACAGTTGTGACCACAACCTCAGGCAAGTCCTACAATCACAATGTTGCTATGCTGCTTTGCAAAAAAAAAAAATCATACGAAAGCAAATACAGACTAGTATTGTTTTGTTTTTGTTTTTTTAATTTTGGAAAGAAGCGGGTCTTGCAAAGTAGCTTTGTTACTTGAGACAAACTGTATACTTTGTACAAGCTGGAGTCACTATTTCCAAAGACTGCCACCTGTTTTCAAGTTGGCGCTCACTGAACCACGAGAGAAAAGACCAAACTGTCTAGCCCAACGGGGGGGAGGGGTGCCGTGTGCTTCTGTGGTGACCGACCGGGTGCGGGTAAAAACTGTGTCTGTCGTTTTTAGGGACCTGCTTGGTGTGCCACCCAACCCTGTGCTTTTTTTTTTTTTTTTTTTTAATGTACTTTTGTTGAAGCTAAGGTAGACTGGCAGAACCCCTTCGACCCGGGGGCCTCCAGAAGGGGGCCCCCGTGGACCGATCATAGTCCTTAGGGAGTCGGCGTGTGCGCTGCTGCTTTTCGAGGACAGTTCAGGTGGGGCCCCAGGAGTGCCCATGTGTCCCCTGCGCATCCCGGTGCTGCCCCCCCTTCCTGAGCACCAGGCCGGGTGGGCGCCTGCGCAGGGGACCTCAGGTGACTTGATGGAGTTTCCCAGTGCCTATCCTAGCAAGGAAATGGGTTTTTCGTGGAAGAAACTCATGGGAGGGCATGCTTCTTATTAGAGGTTCACATACTAATTTTTATAAAAACTTCTTCAATGTGACCCACGCCAAATAATTACGAAGATCCCCCAACCCGCCCCGAGTATTGTTCCATGAAGGCTACAAAGTTGGAACAGGCAAGCCCTGGGTATGAAAGCTTTAATTTATCTACCTCATTTATTCTTTCTCTTTTTGTATCCTTAGTCTCTCTCTTTCCTGTTTTATGACAGCTGACAGCGTTCCTAGTCCCTGTCTCAACCCCAAGAATTGATGTATTTGTGAGAGTGGCTGGATATTCAAAATGTTTTTGTGATTTTTTTCTTCTTCTAAATCCCCTTTTCTGTAATATTAAGCAAACAATAAACATTTCTTTTAATGGTTTAATGAGGAAGAAGGGAAGACCCTCATTTCTGCGCTGGAGGAGTCCTCCCCTCACCCCCCAGTGTGGAAGTGTAGGTCAAGAATATCAGAAGTTGGCCCCTGCGTGATTGCACCTGACCTTAGGACCCAGAAACGTTTTGTTTTGCCAAGTTGTGCCTTGCCTCCTGGGACCGCCGTGAACACGAGAGTGCCCGTTCACACTGTGAAGTGGTTGCTGTTACAGATGACACGCCGGAGCCTTGCTCACTGTCACGCCTTGTGAATGTACGATGCACAGAGAGGACCCTGTAGTTTGTACCTGCTGATGCTGGCTGTTGGAGAATAAATTTTGGACATTTTGTTTCCCCACCATGCGTGTCTGTGAGTTTTTCTGGCGGTTTCTGCTCTAAACGGGAGGGCCTTACTTCACAGTCGTTTCCAGGTGCCCTCTGATTCTCAGGTCCTAGAACGAAGGTGAAGATACGGTTCCCAGGCACAGGATCAGATCTTGGGTTGGCCAAAAAGTCTGTTTAGTCTTTTCAGTAAAATAAAGGACACATTTTTCACTTTCACCAATAATTTACTGATATGGTTATTTTGAATAGGTCAGCTGTCTCGCATGTGGTATAACACTGATTGTTCTTGATTAATGTCTCCATCACTATCCACTTTAACTGGTCTACCCCAACCGTGGATCACTGTCCAGCGAGAAATCTCCAGCACAAAATTTCACAAAACACTTAACGACAGGTTTGCTCAGTCACAGCACGTTCTCCATACATGGCACAAATTTTATTCGCATGTTAGTTGTGTTTTTACCTTTCTTGAAATAATAAAGGTTCGTATGCTGAAAATGTTGCTTCTTCCATCTTTAATATTAAAATGACCACAAAAATTCACCGATTTTGATATTTTTTAATGCACGCTCATAAGACAGCTGTCACAATGCAGTCTAACAATTGTTTCGAGTGAAGTTAAAGACAGCCACGTGCTATTAAAAGTTTAATGGGAGGAAGCCCACTGAAGAATTTTTGCCGGGCTTTGTGTATGACCACAAAGAGCTTAGCGTGCTCTGAACTACCCCACGTCTCCATGCGACCTAACCTGGCACAAGTTGGTGGGCAGAGGGTGTTTTTAGCCATCTCATACTTGAGGGCTTCTTAGGAAGGAATAGGCTGCAGGTTCTCGGGAAAGGTGAGGAAAAAAGCTCATTGGAGGAAGACCCGAGGCAAGAGAGTTTCATGACCAATCGATTGGTCAGGTGCCTCTTGCTCACCTTCTGCTATGTCTGTCTTTGCAAACCCAATGGCAAGAACCAGCCTCAGGAGAAAGTTCAAGGGTGTGGACCCCACATTGTCCGGGGTGGGGTGGGTATTCTCACATCCGGGAAGGGGCTGGGGGTCTCGTTCTGATGGTTTTTGACCCGACAAGAACTTGAAGGTGGCGTGTCCTCCGGCCTCGGTTCATCTAAATTTAGGGTGAAGCAGCCACTCCATTGACAGCAAGGTTAAGTCCTTCCTGCAGGTAACAGGGATGGAGGCCCCTCCCCAGCCACTGTGCCCTGGTCACCCTTTCTCCCCTCAACACCAGCCCACCCTTATGTGTCAGGTCTTTCTCAATTCAAATGGCTGATCATTATTTTACTTAAGGAAAAAAGTATGTTTTTTTCCCCCTCAAACATACTTCAGCCATCTTTCCAAGGTAAAGCCTGCTTCTGGCTGGTCCTTTCCCAGTATCTGCAGTAATACAAAAACGTTTCATTAGTTCTTGTTAGACCAGCACTCCTGTCTTCCTTAAACTTTTTTTTTAAGATTTTATTTGTTTTTAGAGGGGAAGGGAAGGAGAGAGGGAAAGAATATCAATGTACGGTTGCCTCTCATGTGTCCCCTGCAGGGAACTGGCCTGCAACCCAGGCATGTGCCCTGGCTGGGAATCAAACCTTGATCCTCTGATTAGCAGGGGACAATCCACTGAGCTCAATCCACTGAGCTACACCAGCCAGGGCTCAGACTATTAAAGGATTTTGATCACCTCTGTGGCATAGTTTCTGTTTTTCTCTTTGTGCACTTGCAGTAACACTGGTGCTTCCCCCCAAGTGTGTGCTTCATCCGTGGTGTGTGTCTGTCTGTCTGCTCAGCCCTGATCTTGAAAGCCCTTTTTATCTCCTTGGCGAAAGCTCTCCGTGTTTCCCCTTCTTACTGAATGCATTGCGGTGAGACTGGCTAACGAAGTCACGCGGGTTTCAGGTGCACAGTTACACACATCGTCTGCACACTACCGTGGGCTCGCCACCCCAAGTCGGGTCTCCGTCCGTCACCACGATCCCCCTCCCCCTGCAGTCGCTAATGCTGTCCCTGTCCACGACCTTTCTCTCTTTTGCTCAATCCTTGCTACCCCTCCCCCACAGCTGTCACCCTGCTCTCTTATCCATGAGCCTGACTCTGTTTTCTTGTTAGTTCAGTTTGTTCATTAGATTCTATCATATGGGATTTGTCTTTCTCTGACTGGCTATTTCACTTAGCATAATGTTCTCCAGGTCCATCCATGCTGTTGAAAAGATTCCTTTCCCTCTTTTTTAACAGCTGAGTAGTATTCCACTGTGTGAATGTACCACAGCTTTACCCACTCACCTACTGATGAGCGCTTGGGCTGCCCCCAGACCTTGGCAATCGAGAATAGCGCTGCAGCGAACGCAGGAGGTCACAGACCCTTCCGAGTTGGTGTTTCGGGTTTGGAAGCCCACTCCTGGGGAGTAGGTTGTGGTGTGAGCACACTCCCATCATGCAGTGCGGCCTCCGAGTTTATGGAGCGCAGGAGGTAAGCAGGGCTGTGCCGTAGGTCTTGCTCAATGGGTTCTGCGGATTCAGAACTGTTTTGATACTTGATAGATCAGGGTGTCAAACTCATCTTCACCGGGGGGCCACATCAGCCTCACGGTTGCCTTCAAACGGCTGAAATAATTTTAGGACTGTGTAAATGTAACGACTCCTGAACTGTCAAGGAGTTGCAATTACATTCAGCCCTTTGAAGGCAACCGCAAGGCTGTTGTGGCCCCCGGTGAAAATGAGTTTGACACCCCTGTGGTAGATGATTTAAGGGAATCTCAACATGTTGAATAAATGGCCGGTTATGACCAGGGCCCATATGGGCGGCAACGGATTGATGTTTCTCTCCTTTCCCTCCCGTCCCTAAAATCAGTGGAAGAAAAACATATCCTCAGGTGGGGATTAAAAAAGAAAAACCAGGGCGGTGGCAAACTGCCACCTTTCCTCCTGGCCCACTAGTTTCCACCCCAGAGCCTGTGTAAACATCAGTGTTCCGGGAAAGGACTCGTCTGCTGCAGACGCTTTTGAAGAAGCTGTTCCCTCTGGCGATGCTGGAGAGCCTGGAAGAGTAGGGAAGGGAGATGTTTGATTCGACCTGATGGCGCCAGGTTGGCCCAGACAACAGTGTCGCTAACCCACCAGGAAAGTGTGGAAAGACCTGCACGTTTGCAGGAAGCTCTTTAGAGTTTCAGAGGCAACCCCCACAGCGCCCCGACCTGTTGTTTACAACTCAGCAGATGCCTTGGGCCCAGACACGGAAGTCAGCACGTGTAGGAAGTCCAGAAACAAAGTAAGGAAGGGGCTGATACAGGTACTTTTCCAATCGGGAAGGTCTGTGAAGTGGGTCCATGAGGAAGTGACTGGCCCTTCACTCAGGAAAGGAGGCCTGCGTCAGCCCTGTGGCTGGGTGCCTCGGGGCAAGGTAATTACGGAACCTCCGATAACTCACTTGCACAGTGGGGATAGAACCTGGATCAGAGCTAGGTGAGAGGAGAGGATGAAATCCCTCCATCTGGGGCCCGGGAAGCCTCGCAATATGGTGGCCGGGACTGTTTGTCCTGTTTGGCCCAGGAAAGCTGCACTGCCCTGCTTGGTTAGGCAGATTGGGTTCCCGCTGTGTGACTCAGGTGGCTTGGTTCAGTCTCTTGACTGAGGGAGGAGGTCACGTGGGTCAGGAGGTACCCTGTGGTGGGCAGCTCTTTCGACTCGGATAACATCCCTTTCTGCATCTCATCCCCAGGGAGGCGTGCATGCCACAGCTTGTTTCAGCATTTGCTGGTTGCTTTAGAGAGGCGTCATAAAACGCCAAATGGCAAGCTGGTAGAGGTCATCTTCGAGGTGGGCTTTCCACGTGACTTCCACTAAGGTCACCTGAGCCACACAGGATTTCAGCAGGGGTTGCCGCATTTTGTGGATCCTTCCTGTACATTCCTTCTTCACCCACTGCCCTCGACAAACACCCCGGGACCCTGGGATGC